TCAAACAACTTATATATTGATTATCACATAATTATTTATTTTATCATTACACTTATTTTATAATTAATTTTATAAAACGAACTGCAAAAACAAACATCTTAATTATAGTTAACTGAACAACTTAATTAAACAACTTACCATCTTAATTAAAGAACTTATTTAATCTTTACAGAAGTTTGTTGAGATTAGCAGTCACAAAAAAAGGAATACAATAGTAAATCAAGTCACAATGTATTTCCTATGGCCTGTTTAAAAACACACAATATTGGGAGGCCTGGAACTCATTAATGGCTGAAATAAAACAATCCAAATTTATCATTTCGGCACATATGTTTCTATTATATTCAATTTTTTATGAAAGCATATGCATAGTATTTTAGCAATTAGTTTTAAACATATCATTTGTTTATCAGTTAAAACTCGTATTACTGATTTAAGAAAAACATGTTTCAGACTGATAAAGATAAAGCAATTCAAATGCACCATGCAGATTGGTCTTTGGGTAATATTCCAAAAAAGTTAGATGTGGATCTACAGTTAGAAGTTAGAAGTTAGATGTGAATGGTGTCAATTTACAACAAAGTTGAATCATCAGTTCAAAGAACTGATTTTTGTTTTAAAATTTATTTAGCAGAAAATCAGAGTCTAGAAGAAAGCAAAAAACTACAGAAAAAGAAGATCAATTAACAGTGAGGAAAGCAATGAGGAACTGTAGAATATCAGTGAGTCAGATAAACCAAAACTTAAACCTTGACTCCAAAAAAACAACATAAAAATTACCCCACAACACAGCATAAAAAAAGTATTTACAAAATGCTAGAATACCTACCATAGAGTGGCCGACACGATCACTTGACTTAATTTAATTGAGAACCAGTTGTCTATATTAGATTTTAAACTCAAAGACAGAAAATTTGAAAATAAAATATCTACGTAGAATATAAATATGTAATAAAGATAAACTGTTTTTGACTGAAAATTAGTTTCTTAACAAAATTTGCTGAAAGCATGTGCCACAGACACAGTTGTTAACAAGGCTAAAAGTAGCAAGACCACATGTTACAAGGCCAAGGCCAAAGCCTTGAATAAGAATAAGAGTTTCAAGACCAAGGTCTTTAAACTCTTATTCTTGGCTTTGCGTAGCAAACATTTTTAAGACCAAAGACTAAATTTTTGCTTTACATTAAGGCTAATTATTAAAAACAAAGAAAATATATTTGTAGATATAAATGAAAGCCGAAAACAAAAATACATAAAAATAAAGAATGAAAACCTTTAATTCTTTAATTTTATGTATTTTTATGAAGGCCAAGGCCAAAAAAATCAAGGCCAAGGCCAAAAGTTTTGAGGCCAAAGCCAAGGCCTTAATATTTGGACTTAATATTTGGAGGCTTGGACTTGTATTATATGTATGGACTAATATTGGGAGTATGTATGGACTATGTATGGACTAATATTGTATGTATAATAAGTATGTATGGACTATGTATGGACTAATATTGGGAGATTTGGACTTAATATTTGGAGGCAAGGCAAAGGCCTAGGACTAACAACTCTGGCCAAAGATGCCAAACAGTTATTAATGTAAAAGGTTAAACAACCAACTATTAAAAATGATTATATATTAAAATTATATACTAAAAATATAAAAAAAAATTATATACTAAAAGAATGACTGAATTTCTATTTAGTTATAACAAGTAAAATTGATTGTAGTTTGATTTAAGATTATATTAGATTAAGATTGCATTTATCTGTATTTAAAAACGATTGATTTTTACCCATTCTGTAGTTTTGTTAAAAGTTCCACAGTTTTATTTATGATTTAGAGGCCACCTTAAATACTTGCTAAATATCAAAAAGTCTATACAATCATATTTACATAGATGACATTGAGATTTTGAAACTTCACACTTTAATTTTGCTCCAGGGCCCTGAGCTAGCTTGGAACATGTATGAAATGAAAACCACAAGCATCCAGTAAACAAAAGAAAAATAATGAAACACAAAACCAAACGTTTAATTAGGTATATAAATAATGCTAATGAATATAATGCAAAAAATTAGATAACACTTTAAGAAAGTAAACAAAAAACTAGGTAATAGTTATATTAGTACATGTTACTGAAGGTTGGGTTAAGTAAAACTGACACTTTTTATATCTTGAATTAAAAAAGATTGGAATGAGCTACAAAGTTGATTTTTTTTTATTGAACGCTTATTAAGTCTAGAACAAAAATAAATAAAGAAAAAAATTAAATTTCTTCATACGATATAAAAAATTATACGATATAAAAAATACGATATAAAAAATTAAATTTATATTATATACGATATAAAAAATTAAATTTCTTTATACGATAAAATTTTCTAATTTTTTTCTTGACGGGAGTCATAAGATTTTGCACTAGGTGAGATCCATACTCTGTGGTGGTTTTATCCCACTTCTTGTTAAAGTCAGTACTTGATTTTGCTTGCCTAAACTTCTTACGTAATTTGGCTGTAATAATCGCTCATTTGGACGAAGTTTAGGACAATTTGCAGGGTTGTGTGTTCTAGGTATGAAATCGATACTATTGGCATTGTAGAAGTTTAACATGGATTTGGAGTAATGACAAGAAGCAAGGTCAGGCCAAAAGACTACATAACCATTGTGGGCGTTCCACAGTGGCAATAAACACTTTTAAAGGCACTCTTTGAGATAAATTTCACTATTTATTGTGGAATTAGTGACAAAAATTTGTATTTTTAATCCACTTTTGGATTGACATATGGCTAGCCAAACCATAATTTTTTTGGGGAACTTTTTTAGTTTTATTGTTTTAAATTTTGCCTTTACTTTTTTCCTGGAAACTCCCATATAAAAATGATGTCCTGGAATCGTTTTGAAATTTAATTTTACATAAGTTTCATCATCCATAATTATATATGTATATATATATATATTTTTTTTTTTTCTACACAATAATTTGTATAACTTTCCTGCACAACTTTTTGCCACTAAATTTTCTTCAGCATCACAATCTAGTGCTTTATACATCTTGAAGGACTTGATTTTATGCTTTTTCTTGATAGTTTGAACCATTTGGCTGCTAGTTTTGCACTTTAGTGCCAAATCTTGCTCAGAAATGTTAGGATTTGCCCTTATTTTCACCAAAACATTCGTCGTCAGTTTTTTGTAAATGTTCAAGTTGTTGCCACTTTCAGGCTTTCTATTTATTGTATTAAGTGTCAAATACTTATTTAAAGTTCTAATCACAGTGCTTTTAGAACATTCAACACCTCTCAAATTGATTGCAAAAACTTTACAATCGATTTGAGAGGGAAATTAGAATTTTCTATTCGAGCATGCCAAATTGCATCATGCACTTGTCGCTGTTTTGTTGCCGTTTTATATAATAATAAATTTTTTCTAAAAAAAATATTTCAACTGAAATACTAATACATAAATAATTGTTTTTCTGTATGATATTTTTAGCGTCCTAATTATAAGAAATAAAAAGTGTCAATTTTACTTAACACAACCTTTTTTATTAAACAAACAAAAATTAAAGATTGAAAAATGAAATTCGAAAAGATATTTAAAGATTTTTACTCTACTAAAACGACTTTTAAGTAAGTAACGACTTTTAAATAAGTAGGAAGTGGATAAGTAGGAAGCGCATAGTCGATTAAATTGACAATTAAATTTTTAACAGTCAACTAATTTCAACTTTTAGTTGATTTAGCCCATGCCGATAACAACTCTATATAAAGCATAAAAAAAAGTAACAAGTGAGCAAACACTAACAACTAGGGGTGATAGATTAATCAATATTTCTAATTAATTGACTAACAATTAATTTTCAAAAAATTAATCGATTTATTTTTAACAATTTTTAAAAATAAATTCTCATAGTTCAAAAAAAGTAAATACAACTTCTTATGATTTTATTTCTTCAGGTTTTTTGATCTTAAAAAATATAAGTTATTAACAGTGTCATCATTTATAGTTGATAACAATATTAATTGCTTTTTCTCAAGGCATTGAACTATCAATTTTATTAATCCAAGACCAATAAAATTTGTCTGAACAATCTACATTTAGGCACAAATACCTTCTATTACCACCTGAATTTTACTCATCAAGAGAAATTGAAAACCTTTCTTCAGTTATTTGTTTTAGCTGAAACTCTTGAACAATTTTTTATTTTATTGAGCTTCATAACAGTTGTTTTTTTAGCATGCTGATCATCAGGAATTTTAAATCTTCAGCATTGTTATCTGTTTTATTACAGTAGGTAGCAACACTTGGTTATATTTTATGATATTATATTGCTATATAAAATATTTCTATATAAATATGATATTGAATAAAAAAAAATTAAATCTTAAACTTGAAAAATTAAAAGCTTTTAAATAACAGACAATTTTTACCTTTGTTTCTATTATAAAAATTAACTCTCAAATGCTCCAGAACATTTAAATTAACTCCCAGGCTGCAGAACTTTTCACTACAGTCAAGAAGGCTGCTCACTTTTTTTATCTTTTTATTTTATTTTATTTTATTTTATGTTATTTTTATTTTATTATTTACTATGTTAATCTTTGAAAAAAAAATACTGAAACAGGAACCTTATCAAACAACACCATTATGCAGAAAAACAGGTTGATGTCAATAAAACACCTTTTATAATCAAACAAGACCATTGTGCAAACAAACAGGTTAATGTTAATAAAACATCTTTTAAACAGCAGTGCTTTATCACTACTTTTTGTAATTAAAAATAACTCAAAATTGGAATGAAAAAATAAAGATTAAAAATAATTAACTTTAGCATGAACAAAAGAAAAAATATAACATTAAAAAAACTTATATTAAAAGATCACAAACAACAACAATAGAACACACATGACATTAAAAGAACATATATGACATTAAAATAACATTTAGGATAAAAATTCACGTCAGACAAATATGATAAAAATGAGTGTAATAATTATTAATATGAAAACCCTACCATCATCATAAATGTCATCATAGTGTTTGTTTGAAAAATTAGGTGATGAACTGAAAACTTTTGCAGGGTCAATATAAGTTGTACAATCCAAAAAGTCATTATTAAGATGTAACGGCACATACTTTTCAGGACTTAGAACATTTCCACGACCAAGGCTATCACTATTATGGGCTAATGGTGGTATTGTACTTACATTAGTTTCTGGATCTTCATAGTTGTCGTCGTCATCACTAGATGATATAAGATTGTTTGTACTTGTTGGAACAAGTTGAGCTTTGACACCTAAAAAACAATTAATTATGAAACACTAAAATTAATTATGAAAATTGACAATGATTATATAATAAAATTTGTTTTATCTGCATCACATGATTTGAGCATGTTAGTGATACTAACAATAATGAACCAATATTATATTCAAAGAACTGAAAAAAAAGGAAAAAAAAAAACTAAGAAATTTAAGATATATAATGACCCTAATTCCGAAGGCTGGAGTAGTCTTTTAATATTAAAGATGATATTTGGTATGAATATTTAAGACATTTTACATAAAACAGGTAAAACTGCTAAAACCATTTTGAAATCGCAACAAATCAAAAAAAAATAAAAAACTAATTAAAAATATTATTAACCTTAACAAAAACAATTTATTTAAACAATTTGATAAAACAAGCCAAATAAAAAATAAAAAACCATATTACCCAACAATTCAACATCATCTGGATCATCATAGTCATCAGAGCTTTCATCGCGCTGGTGATCAACTTGTATAGTAGGCACAAATAATTTCTCATTTGGATTTTCATAATCATCATGAATATTTTTGTTAGCAGTTGATTGTTTTTTGTTGTTATAGGAAACTTAAAAAAAAGTTAATATTTAGACAAAAACAGCATTGTATTATAAAAATGTATTGTCATATATAAATTTTTATATTTATAGATTATTTATATTATTCATAATGAAGAGTTTTTTTTTCAAAAAAATGATAAGTAATATTTAGAATTTTTGACATGATAGCCATTAAATTTTTTATTTAAAAACCCAGAAGAAATTTTTAAACAAAGTTTTTAAATATGCAAAGTTTGTAATTCCTAATAAAGAGGTGCAAATACGCTTTTAAGATTTTTTTTTATAACTTTTTATTCAAAAGTCATTTACAATAATTGGCTACTTGTATTTGTTTGAAAGGCGGTGCAAAGCATTCCATTGAAGAGCATACAAAAAGTCTCTGATGACTTTTGCAACATGTGACCAATTGTTGTGCTAAAAGATCACTTTGTCATGTATTTTGACATATTGGAGTTTGTTAGTTTCAGTTCTCAGCTCAATTGTATTGACTTTTGTTGATGATATCATCAGTGATGGTTTTGCTAGGCTGGAGTATCTCACAGCAGATAAATCTAAGCAGTTCTTACCAAATTAATATTAAGCTAATGCTGTGGGAGTAAATTCCCACAGCATTAGCTTTTTGCCATAAATTTTGATTTTCTTTTTTTGACTGTTCTGAGCAATCTAAAGTCAATGAAAGGATATAATATCTAAATCAGTTTTACAAATAGCAAGTAGGTCTGGTGAATTTTGAAAGAAGAAATATTCAACGGATAAAAAGTTAATTTCACTAATATTTGTAATCAATTACAATAATTTGGTAATGTTTTTATATGTTAAACATTTTTAACTTCTATATCCATGTCTTAAGTTATTAAAGAACTTGACTCCATCTTAAGTAGTGTATGGCACTTTAAGATTAAGTCGAGTCTACACATGGAAAAAACCATGAGTCAAGAAGATCCAGAGTTCAGAGATACAGAAGATTCTAAGCAGTAAACAATGTAGCACAAGTTTAAATCTATCAAGCAAGAAGTGATAAAAAATTATTGGTTAGAAAAGCGAGTCCTACAGGGAACCAAGACATGTGCAGGATTCATGTTACTGGTAGCAGCATGATCATGATGATTCTGACATGAAATATTTTAATTATTTCAAATTTAATTATTTTAATAATCTGTTAACTAGTAGGTATCAGCATCAACATTAGTCTTTTTGTATCCCTCAACATCAGCATCAGCCACAATCAGACATCAGTTCATTTAGAATCCTTTTTTTTTGAAACTTTTCTTAATCTTTAAAACAATCTTTATAAAAATAATTTTATAAACAACAACTTTAAACAACTTTTTCTTTTTTAAGGAATCATCAAAGTTAACATAGTTAAAAACATAAGGAATGGAAAAAAATGTAAATAAAAAGAAATATAAATGATTTAAATGTTTTTTCTTTAGTTTATATTTCTTGGACAAAAGTTTTATAAAAACTTTTTAATAATTCAAATAAAATGTGTTTATTTATTAAAACAATCATTTGAATAATATAAAAACATCAAGTTTTCTAAATTCATTCATTCCAAACCTAATTAAAAGCATAATTAAAAAATCATTTTCTCTCATAGTTTTAGTCTTTTGTCTTAATTTAGTTTTAGTCTTTTTTCTTCATTTTTAAATTTAGTTTTTTAATTTTTTTAGTTGTGTTTAGTTAAGTTTTTTTTTTGTAAAAAAAAACATTAGAAAATAAGTTTTTAAAATATTTAAAATTACCAAAACAAGCAATTTAATGAGATAAAAAATTTGTTTTGATATTATACATCTGGTTGAGAGGTTAGTATTAACTTCATGAACCTGCTTAATTTTTTCTGTTGTAAAAATGTCTGGCTTGAATAATAAATGTACTTACTGCAGAGTTTTTTAAACGATTTACACAATTACACAATTAAATTGAGTTTAGCCTTCCTGCGTTAAGCACTTCAATTCAACTGTTAAATTTTGACGAAATGAAAATTGTAATTACCATTTTTCTAGTTTTATTTTTTATTTTTATTTTGTTTTCATTTATAATGAAATTAAATTTATTTGCACTAATTTTTACTAAATCCAAAAAAATAAAATTGTATTTTTGGTTTTAAGATTTTATAAGCATAACTTTTTTTTAACAAATGTCAGCATAATTTTTAAATTTACATATATTATATTTATAGTATTAATATATAGTTTTGTTTTTAAAATAAGACAAATGTTATTATATTTATTTACAAATGTTATTAATTTATTATACGTTTTATAAAAAGTATTCTATAAAGGCATTCTTCTACATAAAAAATTAAATAAAAGGGAAAACCCAAATATAACATTTATAACTTGATTTTATGATATTGAAAGATCTTTATATTGACATCAATAACTACAAAAATCAGTATTAAAAAAAAAATCCAAACAGTATTTTTTAAAAGTTAGCTTGGCAACACAAGTCACAAGTTATCTTGGCAACACAAGTTATCTTGGCAATACAAAGTGTTGCCAAGATAACTTGTGTTGTCAAAAATGGTAAATTTTCTTGTAGATTTTTTTTTTTTTAATGAAATGAATGAACTTTTGAAATATTTGCAAATCATGTAAAAAAACGTGGTCAAGTTATTGAAAAGAAGTATTATATGTGTGGTCATTCCTATTTAGTATCAAATATGCAATTAGGCACATTAATAGAATTCTATCATGCATTAGATGAAAGAGGTAAGGCATGGGCTATTGCTCTTGACATGCCAAAAGCTTTTGATAAGGTTTGATCTTCTCCATAAGCTTGCTTTATATGGTAAAATTTTTGAGATTATTTCTAACTGCAGTATTAAAGTCATCCTAATTTTCTTGGATTATAATAATTTAAAAAAGATTATTTAGAAAACTATAAGACCATTGGTCAAAAGTAGACTTTGACTATATTAATTTTATAAAAAACATATAATATATATAAACATATAATATATATATATATAAAAGAGACATGATCAAATATACCAATATTCATTATATATATATATATATATATATATATATATATATATATATATATATATATATATATATATATATATATATATATATATATATATAAATGTGTGTATATATATATAAATGTGTGTATTTATATATATATATATATATATATATATATATATATATATATATATATATATATATATATATATATATATATATATATATATATATATATATATATATATATATATATATACATTAGGATGCCTCTTATTTGTAAATTTATTTTTCTAAATTTATAGGACTTACTAGTAATGAAAAAATAATTCAGAAAAAAATTTATTCAAATTGGATCGTATTTCGAGGTTGCTACCTGAATTAGAGGTTGCTACCAAGGATTGAAATTTCGAGGTTGCTACCAAGGATTGAAATTTCTAGGTTGCTACCAAGGATTGAAATTTCTAGGTTGCTACCAAAGATTGAAATTTCTAGGATGCTACCAAGGATTGAAATTTCTAGGTTGCTACCAAGGATTGAAATTTCTAGGTTGCTACCAAGGATTGAAATTTCTAGGTTGCTACTAAGGATTGAAATTTAGAGGTTGCTACCAAGGATTGAAATTTAGAGGTTGCTACCAAGGATTGAAATTTAGAGGTTGCTACCAAGGATTGAAATTTAGAGGTTGCTACCAAGGATTGAAATTTAGAGGTTGCTACCAAGGATTGAAATTTCTAGGTTGCTACCAAGGATTGAAATTTCTAGGTTGCTACCAAGGATTGAAATTTAGAGGTTGCTACCAAAGATTGAAATTTCTAGGTTGCTACCAAGGATTGAAATTTCTAGGTTGCTACCAAGGATTGAAATTTCTAGGTTGCTACCAAGGATTGAAATTTCTAGGTTGCTACTAAGGATTGAAATTTAGAGGTTGCTACCAAGGATTGAAATTTAGAGGTTGCTACCAAGGATTGAAATTTAGAGGTTGCTACCAAGGATTGAAATTTAGAGGTTGCTACCAAGGATTGAAATTTAGAGGTTGCTACCAAGGATTGAAATTTAGAGGTTGCTACCAAGGATTGAAATTTAGAGGTTGCTACCAAGGATTGAAATTTCTAGGTTGCTACCAAGGATTGAAATTTCTAGGTTGCTACCAAGGATTGAAATTTCTAGGTTGCTACCAAGGATTGAAATTTCTAGGTTGCTACCAAGGATTGAAATTTCTAGGTTGCTACTAAGGATTGAAATTTAGAGGTTGCTACCAAGGATTGAAATTTCTAGGTTGCTACCAAGGATTGAAATTTCTAGGTTGCTACTAAGGATTGAAATTTAGAGGTTGCTACCAAGGATTGAAATTTAGAGGTTGCTACCAAGGATTGAAATTTAGAGGTTGCTACCAAGGATTGAAATTTAGAGGTTGCTACCAAGGATTGAAATTTAGAGGTTGCTACCAAGGATTGAAATTTCTAGGTTGCTACCAAGGATTGAAATTTAGAGGTTGCTACCAAGGATTGAAATTTAGAGGTTGCTACCAAAGATTGAAATTTCTAGGTTGCTACCAAGGATTGAAATTTCTAGGTTGCTACCAAGGATTGAAATTTCTAGGTTGCTACCAAGGATTGAAATTTCTAGGTTGCTACTAAGGATTGAAATTTAGAGGTTGCTACCAAGGATTGAAATTTCTAGGTTGCTACTAAGGATTGAAATTTAGAGGTTGCTACCAAGGATTGAAATTTCTAGGTTGCTACCAAGGATTGAAATTTCTAGGTTGCTACCAAGGATTGAAATTTCTAGGTTGCTACTAAGGATTGAAATTTAGAGGTTGCTACCAAGGATTGAAATTTCTAGGTTGCTACCAAGGATTGAAATTTTGAATATGTTGATCAGAGTAAAATTTTTTTCATTATTTCACACAAATATCATAAAAGCAAATTTATATAATTAAATCTAGTTTTTTAATTTATATAATCAATACTAATTTTTAGTTAATATAACTAATTAGAAAGTACACTGAAAGTCTTAAATGGTATAAGAAACGTACAACAAAAAGATTTTTATATATAAAAAAGAAAAGATAAATGGTTACAATGCAAATATATGACCAGCGGTATTTAAAAGAAAAACAATTTAAAAGACTTGACATTGGTGGGATTCGAACTTCGGACTGCCCATGTTTGAAGTAAACACCTTATCCAAATAAGCTAAATGTGCATATACAAATGGACAAATAAAAATAATTATATAATTTAAAAAAATATATGCATGCATTACATAGATGTTTTTATATAGGGACAATATACACTTGTTACATTAAAATATATTTTAAATACAAATAGCAATTTATGTTTTTACTTTCCTTTTTAAATAAAAAACAAATAAAATATAGGAAAATCATTCTTTTTAATTTCGACTTGAGACTTTTTTTTTTTTGCATCGCCTTATCAAATTTTGTTGCTGAAAATAATAACCACTCTAAAGAAATAAAAACAGAACACATATAATTTTAATTTTTTTTTTCTATTTAAATTTATATTAATTTCCTATTTTGTTAGTTTAGCTTTCTTTGCTTTTGTAACTTTTGCTTATGTTGTTTTCCACAACGCCTAATATAAAAAAACTTGCAAACAGCCGTGACCAAGTTGCCTAAAATAAAATACTCATGCATGGACATCAAGACAAAAAACGCATGTGTTTCCTAGGAAAGCTTGTAATCCTGTTCCAGTTTGCAATTTTGGTACCCCAAGAAGCTATAGAATTCCAGCACCAGACACAATGATTGGCAAAAAATCAACATTCTCTTTGCCAACAATATCTTTAGGCATTTTCCTATCCCATGGTCAGAGGATTCTGTGGATTAAACTCTTTTTTTAAATTTTCTGCAATATCTTTTCATCTGTAGTTGTTGAATTGAGTAAATATTTATATTGTAGTCAGCAGGATTATGACCAAGAAGTTGTTAAGTGGGTGTTAGGACAAGAGTTGCATTTCTTTCACTCACTTTTGCCATGTCCAGACTTGCAGCTAATTTTTTATTTAATATCAACTTTCTGCCTTGTTTTGGATTTTTGGAAGTTAATGGCTCTGCAACAACAGCACCCAGAATATTGTCATTGTCATCCTGACTATTTTTTTTTTCCGTTTTTGCAAATTGTTTGTCCATATTTCCTATTTTACCATGACAACCCTTTTCAGGCTAAGCTGACAGAAATTCTCTGTCTTCTTGAATGATAGTTAATTCCATGGCATCAGTATGAGCAATATCAAATTGATCTTTCAAAGATAAGCTCCAACATGCTTCTTTTAACTTTAGTTTATCTGATCATTTCGTTTTATTTTCTTTGTTGTTTTTTTCAGCTTTTCCCATCTTGAAAAAATCCTTCAACTTTACCAAAAAAGGTTTCTTCAACCTGGTTGGTATGCATTATCTATTAAAAAGGCGAGCTTTTGCCCATATTTTCATAATATCTTTTGAAGTTGAGCCACAAGCCTTATCTCTGTATTTTTCCTAGTCATAGCTTTCAAATATGCAGAGGCTATATTCAATAATAACTGTTATTATTCACAGAAATCCAATAAAATATATTAAAATATTATTGATCTAACAATATCATTTCAATAAACTATAAATATTAAAATCTAACAATATCATTTTTCAATAAAACTATTAGTATCAGACCAATCCTCAATTATTAAATCATGTGTAATTGAGTATGCATATTCACAGATTTGGTATTAATATGTGTTTAATACTAGATTTGTCTACTGGATGTTACAGTCGCAATAATTATTTACCTGTTATTTCATCACTAACAATTATAATTTGAAGTTTAACGACAAAAAAATTTGGACAGACAAACAATTATTAAAAAATTATAACTTAAAAATTTCTCCCAGAAAAGAATTTACCTGGTTTCAGAAAAAAAGTCTACCTGGTTTCAAAATTTCAATATCCTCAGGTTTATCATAGTCATCGGAACTACTATCATCATTAGTATCAATATTAATTTTCTTGAATTGTTTTGATGAAAAATTATTGTTTGAATCTTCACAACTGTTGTTGTTACCAGAAACTAAAAAATAAGAACATTTAAAGAATATCATGTCAACCATGTCATAAATGTCATGTCAACCATGGCAAAAATGTCATGTCAACCATGTCAACCAACTATTATTCACTTTGTTTAACAAAATGAACATTTGTTGGTTGACATTTTATCTAGATGGTTTAGAGGTGCATTAAAGACTGAATAATTTTAACAGTGAATATAACAAAATTTAGAGAGCGTAAAAAAATCTTGGTACAAAATGAGAATTTAAATTTTACACGAACATTTTACATGGTTGTTCAAATAACCTTTGTTTTTAGCAAAATGAAAAAAATTATGGAGAATGGATGTATCAAGAAAGTCATATGACTTTCTTCATTCATTCCTGTTGACCTGTGGTTTTAAAAACTCAATTATTAGAGAGAGTAAAATATTATCAAAGGTTGTGAAAATTCATAAGCAATGGGTGTCAATACCCGAAGGTAAAGTGCTACTTTGGAAGAAGGATATATAAACAGGCATAAAGATGAGGAATTTGGAAGATTGAACATAGACAAGAGAGTTGCTACACAATAGTATGTACACAAATTATAAACAAAAAAAATGGAAACAACATTAAAAAGATGATTACTTAAATTCAAATGATTAATCTTTAATTAAAAAGGATGGAAATAATTTAAATGAGATAAAATTGATATCTGCATAAGGTAACTTTTATCATAAAAAAAATTAATATGAATATTTTTATTTGTGTATTGTATATTAGTTTATAGAATAAACTCTACTTTGTTATCTTTATTTTTTTTTTTCAATAGTACTGAAGGTTATAATTATGATGAGGATAAATCTCACCACAAGTCATCAAAAATTGCTAAAAAAAGAAAATTAATAATGTACAACCAATTCTTTGATCTGATTCAATCCTTGTCACTAAAAAAATTACTTGAGATGGCCTAATTGCACCAATCTGAAGGACCTTTTTTTTTTTCTAAGAGACACAAATGTGGTACAAAATATAAAAAAATTTAAACAGGGGGGGGCCTTACCCTACCAAAAATTCCTGGATCTGTCACGGATATTTACATATATATATATATATATATATATAACCCAACTAAAACAAAACTCAACAAATTAAAATGCTTAGTTTATTCAAATCGTGTTTTTAATTAGGTTTGGAATAATTTTTATCTTTATTAATGTTTATATAATATTATCGAAAACCCTTAAAATAAAAAGAACAATTTACTTTTAATGATTGTTTAAAAAACATACTTAATTTAAATTATAGGTTTTTTTTTTTTTACAAATTTGAAAATATCAGTTTCCATGTTAATGCAAATTAGTAAATAATTACGAATTAAAAAACCATTTCATTTCTTGTTTTAACATTTGTACTTTTTTTTTTTTTTTTAATTCTACAAAAGAATAATAGTTATCATAAAAAATACAAAGTTTTATAAATAAAAAAAGAACAACAGTTTATTAATACTTAATATGAAAATTCATTAGAAGTTTGAAAAAAATGAAATTCATTTTTTGAAATAGCCACAGTCTAATCATCAAAGCAAAATTTAATTTGCGTAATCATATAATGACGTGCGATTGCACCTCTTCCTATGAAATACTGCATTATGCATTTAAAAATAAAAGGAGTTTCTCACACTACAATGTTTAAAAAACTTTTTTTTAACTTGAATATTGGAAAAAAAACTTAACAGTCAAT